GCTTAATAATATTTCAGTAGGGAGGATGTACCTTATTCTGAAGGACCAAGAAAGGGTACTTGTATACCACAACTTAAAACTTACCTGCCATCCTGGCTAGGCTGATATCACCAGGCAGGCTAGCTTCACTGAATCCAAATGAAGCTTGGGCTTAAATGGAAAGGAGAAATGACACATAAGCATAAATACCCTCCCTCCCCCTTTCCAATTTCACTGCTTTGGCTCTTAAACTTAATTCAGTTAACCAGCAGGTGACTGGTTACCACAGAGCAGAGTTTGAGAAGACAGCGAGGTGCAGATACACCTCCGCTACCTAGTAGGGCTTGGATTCCATAACACGGCTGAGACAGTGTTAACATGCTGCAGGTGACAAACTACTGTGTAAATACCTGTCGGCAGGAGATACAGCCTTCCTCTGTAGTGCTCTAGAGAATACTAATACTCTAAAACTATTTCACTCCTGTATCTCCATGAATTTAAACAGCCCCTGGCAGCAAGGTGTTTAAAAAACGTCCAAGCATATTTGGAAATTATTCTGAAATTAAGTACAATCAATATGTCTCTACTAAGGGACAGTTCTTAGACCCTTAATTTATTGGCTGGAATAATAGATAATAAACTTACAGGGCATAGTCTGATGCTACGGCTACGAAGAGAAAAGCTTCAAACTACCAGCTTTCCAAGAGTAGTAGCGACCTAGCTGAAGAGCAAGGAGTAAAGGACATTAAAACAAAATCTTTTGTTTTAGTCTATCCCAACGTACTACAACTGGATGTTTTTATACCACAAAGCAAATAACTGCACTAGAGTTGAAGTCATTCAAATGATTTCAAAGGAGGAGGAGGAGCACATTCTAGACATCATGGGGAGGAATCTCATCCATGGTCAACCAGGTCAATGCTAACTGGTTAAAACTAGGAAGAGGTAGTTAGCCATATTAGTCTGAAGTTATGCAGAAGGCAGGGTAGTGTGGCACCTTAAAGACTAACTCGCTCAGAGAGGCATGAGCTTTTGTGGCGACAATCTATTTTGTCAGATGCTATGAACTGACTTGCACAGAGCAGGAGTACTAAATAGAAAGGAATATGATAATTTTAATAAAAATGACAGGGA